AGGGAGATGGAAGATAGGTCTGGTTCAAAAACTGGACTCAACCAGCCATAGAGAAGCCCAGCCCCATCACCCTACACCTGTGGAAGGGCAGTGTGACCCTTGGCACACAGGTGCCTTGACCTCCCAGCTCCCTGTGGGAGGACCCTCTCTGATGCGATGACTGGAGTTGGCTGAGGGCCCCCAGTAATGTGTGCAGATGGCCTGACATGCTCCCTGGTAGACCACACACTGTCCTTCCGGGGCAAGCAAACTGGAGTGAGAAGCACACGCTTTGCAACCTGGGTGCCAGGTAGGCCAGACAGGCTCGGATTCTGTGCGGGGCTGGGTCCTGGCTTCATTTCCATGGACATGGCTGAGGATGGGCATCTCATTGCTTTGTTCTTGGGAGTGGGGGAAGGAGGCGTGACTGTGGGGCGGCTCAGCCTGTTCCAGGGCAGAACTCAGGGCACCTGGGGGCCAGGGGACTTGGTACTCGAGACGCAGGGAGCCCTGTGTGGCCTCCCCCTGCATGGCCCCTGCCAGCCCTGCTGGGGAGGCTGACACTCCTCTGCCCTGGTCCCCACAGTTCCAGGTGGACCCCACTCAGCTGGCAGCACGGCAGCTGCAGGTGTCTGTGTGGCACCTGGGCACGCTTGCCCGGAGGGTGTTTCTTGGAGAAGTGCTCATTCCTCTGGCCACGTGGGACTTTGAAGACAGCACCACACAGGCTTTCCGCTGGTACCTGCTCCGGCCCAAGGTGAGGCCTGGCTGGCAACTAACCATTTTAAGGGACCTCCACACTTACCTCCAGAACTAAACTTGCTTTCCAAGGGGATTCTGGAGGGCAAAGCCAGCTGGGAGGTGGGAACCTGAGACACACTGTGCTTGAGCCTGCCAGCTACAACTTTGAAATAGAAACTTCGCAGGCAAGAGACGGCTCCATGGAGGGCTTTTCTTGGGTGAGGTGTTGTTGTTATGCTGTTGAGTTGATTCCTACTCATAGTGACCCCACAGGACAGACTAGAACTGTCCTGTAGGGTCTCCTAGGCTTTTGTGGGAGCAGATCGCCAGGTCTGCTTCCTCCACGAAGCAGCTAGTGGATTTGAACTGCCAACCTTTAGGTTAGCAGCTAAGTGCTTAACTGTGGTACCAGGGCTCCTTTGGGTGGGCTAGGCTGAGATTCTTTTTCAGGTTTGCTCAAGACCCTGATGGCCCACCCTCCTGCAGCACAAACATGGGACATCGGCCTAGTCCACACTGCCTCCTGTGGGTCCCCCCTTGTGTGGGCAGTGCCAGCTGAGGGGGCCTGGGCCTTCTTGACTGAGCTACAGCCACAAAGACCCCTGACTGACTGTGGTTCCATTATGCCGTGTTGCAGTCACCCGCCTGCCTGGTTATCATGCGTCATTGGTTCTGAACTTGATCCCAGGCACTCCCCCCGCCCCATTATGATGGGGGAGCAGTCCC